GAAAAAAAAAAAAAAAAAAAAAAAGTTCCGTGGTTTCTGAAACTCTGGGATGCTCTACAGGAATTTCCAAGTTGGAAAAACCAAAGTTAAATTAAAAAAAATTTTTTTTTTAAATTCTGGCTTTTGTTCTACCAAGGAAGTTCTGCTGGGTCATGACCTGAGCTGCATGGCATGGGTCCCCCAAGATTCTCCATTCTTCCAGCTGCTCCCAGGGCTGTGCATGTTTTCTGAGTCCTGGGGCCAGTGTACTGTTGGGAACGTCCACCGTGGAAAGCTGGAAATGATGAGGGCTGTGCAAGATGGTTCAGCTCTAAGGAGAGACATTTCCTGATCTGGTTCTGCAACAGCTCGTTTCCCAGGACATGGCTGAAAAGGGGGACAGAGCAGGAGAGACCTCTAACCTCCAGAATCCGCACCACCTCTCTCCTACTCAATACGTTGTCTTAGAAGAGAAAGACGCAGACCTAACTCGAGACCAGTGGCTCTCTGTTTGCAGATAGTCTCACCAAGCCAGGCTTTCTGGTTTCTTGGGCTGTCGGCTGGTTGAAAGCAGCTAATTAGAAGTAGACTGAAGGTTATTCCTGGCAAAGAAACTCTCACAGAAGGAAGAAGTGACAGCTCACAGCCTGGTGGTGAGAAACACGGAGCAACAAATGGCAGCACTCAGAAACCACACAAGTGCACACCACTGTACACTTGCCCCGGTGTGACGTCAGTTGATGAAGAGGTTCAAGGGTCCAGAATCAGTTCCTTGGACCTGCGAGTGTCACTTCTGCTGGGAAGGCCAGGTGACACTGGGCAGCGTAGCTTCTGTTAATAGAGTTTTCGGCCATCTGAGCAACTCCAGGCAGGTCTGCGGATAGGCTGGCTGGGTTACCCCAGGGCCTGCCTACCCCACCCAGGCACCCCCGGGGGACCTGCCCTCTTCTCTAACAAGGCTGCTGCTGGTCAGATCGACTTTGGGAACAGTCTCGGCAAAGCTGTGCCTTGCCAGTGGGTCTGCAGGTGGGGGAGGCTTCCAGAGCCCACTGTGGTCTCCACTGTAACCTTCTTTGCTGGTGTGCATTTAGGGTGAACAAGGGATTCCAGGTGTGTCAGGAGATGCCGGATTCCAAGGAGACAAGGTAATTGTGGCAGATTCTCCCCTGCACAACCCCCCACCCCCCGCCACCATCCCCCACTGTCTTGCTCTTCTCTGGCCCTGGCTTCCCTCCCCAGGGCCCATCACAGGCCAAGACCTACCGCTAGAGAGCTTCCTTCCAACAATCCTGTCTTTCCTGTCCTCCTTCACCCTCTCATCTCTTTCCTGGACATTACAGGCCTCCTGAATTATTCCCAGCCCAGCCTCTTCCCTCCCAGTCTGCCATAAAAATTTCTTCTGAAGGCACAGCTCTGCTCTATGCTCACAGACTCTCCATGGCTCCCTACTGCTCCCAGGGTGAGGGCCGGCTCCTCACCTTGGCACTCAGGACCCCAGTGAGCCGGCCCCTCTGACACTTTCTTGTTCCTCATCCTTACAGTCTTGTGCTGGGCCCATGGAACTGCCCACTTCCTCTCTAAGGCTTTGCACACTGCTGCCTCGCCTGGCACCGGCTCTGCCCGGCCTCTGCTCGGCCCCACCCTGCCCCATCTTTCAGGACCTGCTCCGATGCCATTTTCGCCATCTGCTCGGGGCGTGGCCATTTCATTTTCTCAGCGGCCTGTCTGTCCCTAACCTGTGGCAGCACCTTTCTCCCCGGGTTGGTGGGGAATTATGCTCAGCCCCCTGGGAGGCAGTAAGTTCCCCAGACTGCCCTGGCGCAGCTGGGCTCAGGCTCCTGCACAGAAGAGTGAACACTTAGGGCATGTCTGAGTGAGTGACTGAGTGAGTGAGTGACTGGCCTTACTAACTGATGGACTGAACTGAGGCAGCCTGCCCAGGCCGGCTCCTCTTTGCCTGTGTCCCGTACCATGTGGCCACATCTGGACCTCACCCTGTCACTCAATGAGGCCCAGATGTTGGCCAGCTCTCCCTCTTCCCCTTCCCTCTCTCCTGGCTGTCCTGTCCTGACCCAGCTTTGGTGTCTCCAGGTTGCCAGACACGCAGGCCTGGCTGCTTCTCCTGCTGGGCTGCAGTCTTCAGACTTCCCCAGGCATAAAGGGTGCTGCAAGGCCTGCTGGAGCCCCAGTGCCCCGGGTTCCAGGATGACCTGGTGAAAACAGGCTGCTGTTTCATCTTTGCACCCCTGGGACCCAGCCCACAGGGCTGCAGAGCTAGTAAATTTCCCTGCAAGTCAAGAAAGTGAGGGGGGAGCCCATCCTCCCCAAAGGCAGGTGTCCTCCTGGCCTCAGACTGGCAAGGATGCCTCAGCAGCTGTTCACCTGTCTATTTCTGTTCCTCACTAACCCTGGCCTGCTCTGGGTCTTTTCCAGGGGAGCCAGGGATTGCCAGGGTTCCCAGGTGCACGGGGGAAGCCAGGGCCTCTGGTAAGTACCTTCCATTCAGAGACCCCCAAACCTCACACTCTCCAAAAGTTCATCCAGGACCTCACTTCCCCCTGCAGCAGCCCTGGGTGGCCAGCAGGGCAAGGCAGAAATGGAGATCTGCCCACTTCACAAATGAGGACACTGAGGACCAGAGGGGTAGGAACTTGCCCAGCAGCATAGATAGGCTTCAGTCACCAAGCTGAGTATTGGGAATCTTAAGCTCCCAATGCCTTGTAAATAATAGCAGTGGGTATCATTTTCTCACTGAATATTACTATGTATCAGATCCTGCCAGTATCCCCAGGGGTTAGAGAATTATTATTGCTCCCATTTTCCAGATGGGTAAACTGAGGTTCTGCAAGATGAAGTGACTTACCCAAGATCCCATGGCATTAAGTGTGGGAGGCGGAGTTTGAACAGTAGTAGCTCCTTCTAGTTGTCTAGACAGATTGCATTCGTCTGCTCCTGAGCTTCCCAACCACCCGCAGCCAAAGGGATAACACAAGAGGTTAGTAGAAGGTAGACCTTCACCCCTGCCTCCCCCATCATCTTTTCTCTTCTACAGGGCAAAGTTGGAGACAAAGGATCCCTTGGGTTTCCTGGGCCCCCTGGGCCCGAGGTATGTGATGCACTATTTCTCTTGCCTGGCTGCAACGGGGCTAGATGTTGTCCTTGGGAAACCAAGACCCGGAGACAGGGAGATACTTATCTGAGGTCACACAGCAAATGAGAGATAGGGCTAAGAATAGAAATTCCCAGATCGGCGATCCTTTCTTTTCTGCCTCTGCCCTCTGTCAGTGGCAAGTGGGACAGAAGCTGGCCTCAGAGGCCTTCCCTAGCTATGTGGTCACCTTTACAGTTTCCAGAAAAAAATACCAGGAGAGTGCTCTGAGTTCTATTGCCTGTACCTTTAATAGGTGCTCCCCCATTCTCTCCTTAAGGGTGGAGATATCCGGCCACCCTGTGCCCTGGGACTTTTCCAACCACTTGCACCCACCCTGCAAAAGTTCAGGGCTCAGAGCTCCCAGGTATGAGAAGCAGAAGTAAACGCACAGTTCTGGTGTTTGAGTGGAGAATGCGAATCGATGAAGGCTGGTGTAGCGATTAACATAATCATTCTGGTTGCATAAGCAGAGCCCTACGAGTTTCTGACCCATGTGAGAATTAGCAGAGCTGTGCTAGACATTCCTCATGAAACAGAGCAAGGCTGGATGAGCTCCCTGCCCCCTGAATTTTGGGACTTGCTCTGGAAAGCAGGGTAAGCAGTGCCAGGGCCGTTGTCTGTTCAGGATCAGCAGCACCCGCCTCCTCTGGGGGTCTCCACCAGCCCCAGCCGGAGCCCCACCCACCCTCTACTCCCTGGCCCCGGCTTGCTCCTCTGCGAGGTCTCAGAGACAAAAGTCTGGCTCTGCCGGATTCTCCAGACCCTTCCAAAGATCGCTCCTGGTAATGCCCGGATGGGTGAGGAAGTGTTTCCTAAAAATGACAAGTTCTGACTTTCCACTGTTTTGACTTGGCCGTGACACAGTCCTATCTTTAGACAAATGGAGTTGGCCAACCTTCCATCGGCCTGATTCCTTCCCCTGGTCACTGTGGAAAAAGACTCTCAAGTCCGAGTTTTCCCAGCAGCTGGCCAGTGAGGGTGGGAAGCGCGCTCCCTCGCTCGTCCCCTCGGTCCCCTTGCATTTGTTAGGCTCCACCTCGTTCCAGGAGGCTGTGCAGCGTCCTTGGGGTGAGAACTTGTTGACTGGCCACCACAGCTGCGGGAGGTATTACTGCCACCAGGTCGCACGTGAGGGAAGGGAGTCCCCGAGCAGGGTGGCGACTTCCTCAGGGTCCCTGCTCCTCGCAGCAAGTAAGGTCTACGTTGGCTCTCCTGCGGGTCCCTGGAGGCAGCTGGGGCCTGCCTCTCCCAGCTTTGGGTTCTGTTTGCATTGGCTGACTCAGAAGATGGCTCTGCTCAGCGGAAGACAGAAGCTGATGAGCCTGTCAGCGCCTCCCTGGGTCTTTGCTTCCTTTCCCAGAGACCATGGGTGGGAGCTGCAGCTCTCCGGCCCCCGTGTGAATTATCTCTCACTCATTAGTGGGCCCGATCCATGAGAACACAGAATCTGATCGCTGTCCCGATTGCCGAGTTCTCCCTGGGGATGGGCCCACCCCAGGCAGACTTGTTTTCCTAGGAGGCAGGACCCAAATCCTTGTGGATGCAGATTTTTTTATTGAGCTAAGTGCCTTGCTTGCATCATTCCCTTTAAGGCTTAGAACAGCCCTGTAAGGTGGGTATTAATGGTCACCGGCTTGCAGATGAGGAAGCTGAGGCCCAGAGAGGCTCAGGAACTTGCCTGGTCACACAATGAGTTGGTGACAAAATAGGATTTTGAGCCTCTCATTTTGAAGGGGAAAAAACACGGGGCTTCGGCTACCTGTGTTAGCGCCAGATTCAGGACCAGTCTTGCCTTTGCTGGTGACAAGGGTGGTCGGATGTTTGAGCTGCGGTTTAACAGGAATTACCAAAAGGTCAAAAGAAGAAGGAACAGAAAGGCCCCCTTATGAAGACACGACGGGAAGAGCATTTTGATTTTAGAGATTCGTATAAAAAGGCTTTCTTTGGTCTCTAGCTGACAGGGAAGTGAGGGAGTAGTGAGGCTGCCCCAAAAGCGAATGGGGTCCTAAACCCAAGATCTATGCTCGCAGCACTTCCCTTCACAGTCCCTATGGGTGACCCCTGCTCTCTGCCTCCCCTCAGGGATTCCCCGGAGACATCGGCCCCCCTGGGGACAATGGCCCAGAAGGTGTGAAGGTGAGTCCCTGCCAAGGGCAGCTCCCACTGAGGAAGCTGACAGTTCTGTGGCAACCGCAGGCCTCCTGGTTGGCTACCTGGAGGGGAGTCTTGCCACCCTGTGGTGGCGATGGAGGTGCCTCCTGTGTGACCTCTGCTCTTTTTGTTTCCTTCTCTCCAGGGAAAGCCTGGAGCTCGAGGCCTGCCAGGACCCCCTGGGCAGCTGGGGCCCGAGGTGAGACCATCTGGCCCTGCCCCTGCCCCTGCCCATCCTCCCCTGACCCCCAGCCTGCTGTGTCCTGGGTCCTGGAGGCTTAGGCTGGGGCCCAGGACCTCACCAGTACACAGCCCAGGGCTGCCTCAG